TTTTAGAAAAGTAGCTAAGAAAAGAGGTCACCAATAACAAGACCTTTTGTATATACAACAGGCAACTCCAAGGCATGTCCAAACCCTGGGAATCAAATCAGGGTGCAACTAACATTACAACAATTGTTGTTCTTGTTAAGTGCCGTCAAGTCAGTTCTGACCCATACCGACCGTGGATAGGGTTTCCAAGGAGTAGCTGGTGAGCTTGAACAGTTGACCTTGTGGCTCAAACTGACCTTGCAGTACAGTGTATTAACCCATAGCGCCATACCAAGACTTCCTTACAAAGATAAGGTGGTTTGAATATCAAAGAAGTCAGGGGATGTGAGTCTCGTGCTTATAAATACACTCTCAGAGAACATTGGCCTCACAGGATTATGTAGTCCCCAAGAGGAGTGCCTCCCAACTGCCATCCACCTCTGATAAAATATAAAGAAATCAGAGATTTTTGTACAAGTGGAAATTGGTGAGATGATGTGTTGTGTTAAGTATATTTTCATCACAATTGGAAAAACAAAAACAGAGATTTAAATAATTTGAAATACAGTCCTATATCCAGGTAGTTGTAAAAAGGAAATAATACACAACATTTACAAACTTTATGTGACTGCTTCAAATTCCCTTGCAAAGAAAATTACCTATTAAAAAATTGAACTGAGAATTCCATTTTCAGAAAGACAGCAAACTCCAGTGTAGAGAACTTCTCACAGTTAAAAAAAGATCTAAAGATGCTAGATGAAAACATCTTCTGAGTGTGCGTGGCTGAGTTAGCAGCCAAGTAAGGAAAAACACAGGAGACTGAGAAGGAGAAAGAGAACCATTCCACAGGGGTTAACAAGGCCGAGTGCCAGCATCTGCTCTAAGAGGATGAAATCCTGGTGGCCGGGAGCCTGGTTTTAATGACCTTTGTGTGTTGAGACAGAAGATAAAACTTAAGACCCTGGTAAAATCAGAGGTCAAATTAGAAACACATAGAGCTAGGAAGTACTCAGCAAATAGAGAGAAACTTGTTTTTCTCAGAAATGGCTCTGGAGAGTGGAGTAAAAAAGAATATACATTACCCTCAGAATTCCTAATGACAAATTCTGCTGCGAGCAGAAAACTTCGTTTGAAGGGGCCCTGGATTGATAGTGCCCTCAGGTGTCTGGCAGAGGCAAACACAAATCTCCTCCGAAGGAAGACAAAACATGAAAATTCCAAGAATTCCTTTGGATACTGTTCTAAGAACATATGAAAAAAATTAAAACTCACTGCACACATGAGGAAAACATTATGAACTAGAATCAGCAGAAATAACAATTTACAGAATGAAATACAGTCAACATTGGAAAAAGTAGATATAAATTCATGTTTCATAGATATAAAACCATTAAAGAAGGAATTGCAAATGTGCTGAAGAAAAAAAAAAGAAAAATCAAAACTGAAAAGGAACCAACTATAACCTGTAAAAATAAAAAGTATCAAAAATAAAATTTAAAAACTCAACAGGCAGGATAAACAGCAGATCACATGCAAATAAAAGTGTGCCCATTGTTAAGTTCCATTGAGTCGGTTCTGACTCACAATGAGCCTATAAAGGGTTTCCCAGGCTGTAAATCTTTGTGGAGGCAGAAAGCCTCATCTTTATCCTACAAAGTAGGTGGTGGGTTTGAATCACCAACCTTGCGGTTGGCTGTCAAATGCTTCTCCTATAGAGTCACAATGCTCCCTGAAAGTGCATTAGTGAAATGAAAAATGTATTTAAAATGCAGCATGGGAAAAAGGAAGTTGGAAAGCGTAGTTAAGAGACGTAGCATATAGAGGGAGCAGGCCCAATATATCACTGTTGTCAAGTGCCATCTAGTTTGTTCCGACTCATAGCGGTTGGTGAGTTTGAACTGCCAACCTTGAGGTTCAAACCAACTTTGTGGTCCCATGCGTTATCCTTCAGTGTCACAACAGGACTCCCAGTATATTAGCGGGCTTCAAAAGTTTTTTGAAAGACAGAATTAAAAGATAATGGAATTTTTCTACAAAATTTTTAAAGCCATTTTGTATGTCTAGTGGGAATTCCAGAATGAGAAAATAGAGTGTAGCAAGGGCAAAATCCTAAGAGATAATAGCTAACAATTTTCCTGAATTTATGAGAGATACCAATTCTCAGACTTAAGAAATCTAAGCCAGCATAAATTAAAATAAATCCATAACCAGATACATCATGTGAAACTATAGATCATCAAAGACTAAATGCTGTCAGATAGAATACCGATTACCTACAAAGGAACCATGATTCAAAGTAACAGCTGAATTCTTGGAGGTGGTGAGGAAAATCGGAAGACACTGAAATAATAATTAAGTACTAAGAGACACTAATTCTCACCTGAACAACGATGTAGTCACTGAAACTATTTTTTTTAAGAACAATGGTAAAATAATAGCATTAATTAAAAAACAAAAAACAAAAAAACCTGAGTATATTTCTAAGTCAGTATCTAGAGTATGTACTTCAGAAAGAAGCCACTTGGTCATTAAAGGCATCATATATGACTGGCAAAAATTAACATACGGAACACAGAAAAAACTCTCATGAATCAGTACAAAAAATGACAAATAGAAAAACAGACTCCCTCCTGCCAAAAAGGCACTTTTACATTAAAGGAAAGATAAGTGGATCATAAACATATGGAAAAAAACACTCAATCTCTTTGAAAATTGTTGCTGTTAGCTACCATGGTGTCAGCCCCCAATGCATGATCCAAACTAAACCCACTGCCCTTGAGTTGATTCAAGCTCAGCGACCCCTATATAGGTTTTCTGAGGTTGTAAACCTTTATGTGAGCAGAAAGCCTCATCTTTCTCCCAAGAAATAGCTGAAGGATTTGAACTGCTGACACTGATTAGCAGATCACTGCTCACCCTAGAGCAACATCAGGGCTCCTTCTAAATCACGGCAAGAAATACCAACTAAAAGGATAATAAATAGCCAAGTGTTGGCTAGAATATGGAAGGAACAATGGGAACTCTTTTACTGGTGGTGGGAATATGAATTGGTTACCACTGTTCTGGGAAACATGCAACAGCATCTAGGGATAGATCTTAGAGAAAAATCTTGTGCATATGTATTAAAAGACATGTACACTGGGTTCATAATTAAGAATTAACTTCTAAATGTTTTATTTAAAATCATACAATGTACTTTCATCATCCAAAAGTAGTATTTATGGGGAAAAAAAAGTAATCTTTATGGAGCACAAAAGTATCATTTCCACAGATGTCTTACTCATCAGTTGTTAAAACCCATCAGTATTATCCTTTTGAAATGCAAAGTTCAAATCCCCAGACCTGACAACTGAGTTTTACATACAGCAGGACTGACCTTTCTCCAGACTGGCTGGCATATGTACTTTAATTACCAAGGACTGTATCAAGTATTTAAGAAAGAAAATCCTTTTTGAAGATTATTTCAAGTTAATCAGGATTAAAAGTAAATAAAACTTTTATCCTTATCACCCTTGAGTGAAATAATTTTGTTTTAATATCTTATTTAATCCAAAAATACACAAAAGAAAACACTAAGAGTATAGAGCAAACCTGATGTCCTGTGGTCTTTCTTAATAACAACCATTGTCAAGAGACTCTAATCGACTCGCCAGAAAGCATGCTACCAATGATCTTAATCAGATTCCGAGAACTCATATTCAAGAATAAACAATATGCAACTAAAACCACAACAATGGAGGTATTAGCGGCTTTCCAAAAGGTTAGCCTTTACCTGATGAGTCATTTCTACAATGAGGAAAAGTGTAAGATTCTGAAGTACTTCCTATTCAAATTGGAAGATATATAAAGGCAGGAATCATTTATGAAGCATGTTGACCAAGGAAGTTTTCTTCCTCTTTCTTCTGACTCTATGCAAACATCAAACTCAGAATGGCTAAAATGAGTCTTTCATCCTACATACTAATACTAACCTTTTCTTTGTTTTCTCAAGGTATTTTGCTTTCAGCAAAGTCCATAAGAAATTTAGAAGATGACATGGTATTTAATACATTCAGACTGGGGAAAGCCTTCCAGAAGGAAGATACTGCTGAAAAATCAATCATTGTTCCTGCCCTGGAACAATATAAAAGTGAGGAGAGCAGTCTCATGAATGAAGAGGAAAACCGAAATTCAAAGGTAAGCGGCAATGTGGCTTGGTCTTTAGTTCAGTGGAAATTCAAATAATTTTTACAAATCCTTTGAAAAGTAAAATGAAGACTTTTATTTTATAAACAGAAGAATGTGCAAATAGTAATAACATGCACATTAGAACAATTGATGAAATGTTACACATACCAGGTGGTATTTCCATCTTGAAGAGTCTCTCCTACTCAAAAGTTATTATTTTTTGAATCTCTATTAAACTTACATCGAAGGTTGTTTCAAAGAACAGAAAACAGTGTAGAGCACCTTTGAATGGTACAATAAGAATATTGTACAATTGTAGTTAGTACAAGCCATTTCCAATGAGACAGCTAAAACACAAATCCATCTTCTCTTTACAGAATGCAGGCTCTAAACATAACTTTGTAAATCATGGTCTGCCACTGAATCTGGCTATAAAACCTTATGTTGCACTAAAAGGATCTGTAGCTGAGAATGGAATTCAGAATACTGAATCAACACAGGAAAAGAGAGAAATTGGGGATGAAGAAAACTCAGCTAAATTTCCTATAGGAAGGAGAGATTTTGACAGTGAGTAGTCTTTTAAAATTCAATTCTTATTTCTTCATTCCATAAGATAAAACTCTGGAGTTGAGCTGAATTTGGATGCAGTCATTACAAAATCAAATAAGACTATGGTTCAATTATAATCAATATAAAGTGAACACCCAAAAACATGCAGCAAAAATCATTTAGTTTCTGTATTTGTTATTTACTCAGAATTAGTTTTACGAGGTCCTTTCTTTTATTTCTAATACTTTGTGTGATGATAATAGTTCTTTAATAGATTTTTTTCTTCTCTTCAGTGCTTAGGTGTATGCTGGGAAGAGTCTACCGACCTTGCTGGCAAGTCTGACACTTGTTGGTCCACATCATCTTTTCAAAAGAAGACAAAATCATTTACTTGCCAGTTAAGGGAAAAGCCCTTAATGTTACTGTGACTTCTTTGTGTTACTATGTATTATTTTAAATGTCTGTTAAAAGAAATTACATATCAGTCATGTAAATGATACGTTTCTCCTGTGCATTAAACTTTGTGAAAATTGTGCATGATTAAGACTTATTAGTATTTTTGAACAATGTTTTTAACATGCTAACTTTAAACACACTCCAGATCAAAAATTATAAAGCAATAAGGTAATTTACACATTTAAAAAATCAATTGTATGCTTTTGGTAAATGGCTTTATATACACATAGTCTAAAGCATATAAAAGATAAATTCATAGTCTGAAAAACTGTGTTAACTTTGCCTGGCCAGTAATCAATTTGTCCTTGGTGACACACTTGGTGCCTTTTTTAATTCCAGTTTGTTTGCCATCGAAGTTATTTTGTGAACCCTTTGATGTCTTAGGTATCTTAGTATTTGTCTGAAATAGTTCATTATCACACAAAATATTTTCACCATCCAAATCCACCTGCTTCCTTTTTGAGTCCTTATTTCCTATTTGACTACTTGATTTTCTTGATCTGTTTTTCCTTTTACTTCTCTCCAGATGAACATTTTCAGAACTTGTTTCAATTGTTGATTTTCCAACAGATGAATTTACACGTTCTGTTATGCAAGATGAAAGGGGGAAAGGATTATATAATATTTAATTATACTTGTAAAATTGTTATAAACAAACTTTAAAAATAGTTAAAGAAGTCAAAATTTATCATTTACAATCAAAGAATGCGACACAATATATAACAAATGGAGCTGCTTTCCTGTTAACATTATTTTTCATTGTATCATTTCACTTCTCACCCTTACCAAAAAATGTTTTCAGTGCATAACATTCAATCTTTAAACAAAAGCTAAAAGTTAATTCTTAAATACATTTAGTTAAATCAACCATGTCCTATACTTTCCATAAATCATTCATAAAAACTTCCATTTTGTTGTTATTAAGTGCCATCAAGTCACTTCCAACTCATAGCAACCCTGAACAGGGTTTCCGAAGCTGTAAATCTTTGCGGGAGCAGAAATCCTCATATTTCTTCTTTGGAACAGATGGTGGGCTAGAGCCGTGGGCTTTGTGGTTAGCAGTCCAGTGCTTATCCTACAGCATCACCTTCCATAGACATAGCTTTGAAAGCAAACTCATCTTTAAAATTATGAACCATTACATTTCATATTAAACAGAAGCTATCTTCGCAAATAGAAGCTAGTTTTACATAAGTAAAACCAATTGTTGTTATTAAGTGCCTTGAGTGGATTCCGACTCATAGTGATTTTGTATAGGATTTCTAAGGAGCTGCTTGCTAATGGGTATGAACCACCATGTGGTTAGCAGTCCAGTGCTTACACTACAGCACAACACCAGGACTCCAAACCAATTGTTGTTGACATTGCCAAGTGCCATTAAGTCGTTTCCAACTCACAGCAACCCTGTATAGGGTTTCTGAGGAGCAGCTGGTAAATTTGAACCACTGACCTTGAGGTTTACACCAACCTTGCGGTCTAGTGCTTTATTCCACAGCACCACACCAGGACTCCTAGAACTAAATTGTTATTTAATTGTTCAAATGAGGCCAATTACCAGAGGTGTCATTTTCCATGAGAAGAGCACACAAAGGCTTTGACAGTGAATTAGTGCAATTCCATTTGTCCTTGCTTATCATGCATTCATCTTTGTAAGTACATGCAAACTGGGATCTGATTGAAGTCTGCTTTATCTGGTAAAAGAAAGAAAGAAAACACACAATTTATTTTTATCTCTTTTGCTTCTCAGTAGATATATTCTCTATAGTAATCAAAACATTAAAAAAAAAAATCCCTTTAAAATTCTGTTACTGGTTGGATACTTTCAACCCTTGATGTTTCATAGCTTGTAAGCTCATTCATTCACTGCTATGTTAGCATTTTGGTTCTCTTGCAATTCATGGCTACCCCATGCGACAGGACAGAACTACCCCATAGGATTTCCTAAGCTGTAGTCTTCACAGAGCACTATGTCTTTCTCTCTCAGAGCCACTGGTGGGTTCAAACCACTCACTAACTGTTTAGTAGCTGAGTGCTTAACTATCTGCACAAGCAGAAAACTTTCAAAAACTGGTGATGATGGTGGTGGTGGTTATGTGCTGTGGAGTCGGTTCCGGATAATGGAAATCCTGTATAGGGTTTCCAGGGCTATAAATCTTTACTGGAGCAGAAAGTCTCACCTTTCTCCCATGGAACAGCTAGCTGGTAGTTTTGAACTGCTGACCTTTAGGTTAGTAGCCTAACTTGTAACCACTATGTTACCAGAGTTTCTTAAACTGGTGATAGAAAGGTATTATTTCTTGGTTAAAAGCTTGACTGCTTAGGCAGATAAAAACAATTCAAATAAAGTATTCTAGAGAAGATTCCAAATGAAGTGATTTAAATAGTCAAAATCTCAAACTATATTCCTGCATTTGTCTTCACACATCAAATGTTGTTGTTGTTAAGTGCCGTTGAGTCAGTTCCAACCCATAGCAACCCTGCATATGCTTTTCAATGAGCCACTGGTGAGCTTGAACTATCCGTACTACAGTTCTAATGACTCTGTAGTCTGGAGCATTAACCCACAGCGCCACACCAGGACTCCTCACATCAAACAGGAGGGCCTAATTTTCCGCATACATAGAAACAACTTACAAAGTTAAATTTAATTCTTAACCATGGAAAAAAATGTCAAGAAAGTGGTTTTGAAATATATTCTGCCAGTATAAAACCAGTCAATTGTTACAGGGGTAGGAATTAATTTCAGAACAAAGTAACCTACACAGATAATTAAAAATGCCAACAGTCACAGCTCATGTATAATATTATTCAGTTAAAATTGGGAGATTTCTCCATATTATTAGAAATCACCTCAAATTCTTTTGATAAACAGTTAACATTCAAAGAACTGACAAAACACATTTATAATTCAAACTTTTAACATTTCCAAGTATAACTCCATGATGCTTTGAAACATACTTACAATGTATTTACTTGAACAGTTCTTAAAAACGGAAACAGCACCAGTTAATGTGATACATTCAGTGTGACCCTCAAAGACAGATCACTGCATTAACCTGCTTGGCTATCTGCAAAGACAACAGCACCCAAAGTCCACTGACTACGGTTAAGAGGAAATCAGAACAATATTTCAGTAGCCTCAAAGAGGCACATTTTCTAGTGATGACAAGTGTTAAATTTTTCTGGCTAATGGAGTTTGTGAGTCCTTTCATTTTCCACATCACACACACAAAAAATGTATTATATTTACTTGAATGAACCATTTGAAGCTTACTGTTATTCTTCATTCAAGCACAAAAATACTACAATTAAAAGGATAATGAATATGTGCAAACTTAAATTTTTGAAGAAAATAAACCATGAGGCTCTTGACAATGGATGTGACAGAGTCCAATGCTGTTATGTGCCATCCGTTTGGTGCAGACTCATAGTGACTCTATAGGGAGAGAAGGCCTGTCCGATAGGGTTTCCTAGGCTGTAATCTTTGAACTGCAAGGTCAGCGGTTCAAGCTCACCAGCTGCTCCTTGGAAACCCTATGCAGGGTTGCTATGGGTCGGAACTGACTCTACGGCACTTAACAACAACATACAACAAAAAACACCAGGAGTACTGGTGTGGCTCTGTGGGGTAAAGCACTGGACTGCAAGGTTGGTTTGAACCACAAGGTCGGCAGTTCAAATTCACCAGCTGCAACCTGGAAACCCTATACAGGATGGCTATGAGTCAGAACCAACTCAAAGGCACTCATCAACAACAATAACAGTCTTTGAGAGAGCCTGTGGAAAGACTGGTAGGTTCCAAATGCTAATCTTTTGTTTAGCAGCTGAGCTAATTCCTTCACCATTATAACCAACAAAGGCTCTTTTACAACCCAGTACCTCCAAGAATGGCTATGCATTCAACTCTTACTACAGAGTTTCCACCAGCAGATGTCCTAAAATATAAGTAAAGGTTTTAAGCAGCCCTTCTCAACCGTATTAATTCTATACATGCAGAACTAAATAATTGCTAAAGCCATTAAAATTTGATATTACATCATATCACTACTTTAAAAAAGCATTATCCATAGAAATTTATATAAAAACTATTACTAATCACTGACATTATCTTTTGGTACAAATTTCTTTAATGTCACCAGAATTATTGCTTATAAAAAGTTATAAAAAAAGATGGTAAAACCTTGCCGAGTTGCTAGCTAGGACCAGTCTCGTTAGGATTCAGATAATGATGACACCTATGAATGAGCTTTAGCATTACCTCTCT